CACGGAGCAGGCCCAAAGGCAGTGGCCCCGGTGTGCCCCAGCAGACCCAGATCCCCTTCCTCGCAGCCACGCAGCCGAGCCGAGGGAGGGCACAAGATCCTGTGTGTGCCACAGGGCAGCAGGCAGCGTGGTGTGAGAATGGCGTTCGGTTTTGGGGACCTTGTCCTGCCGCTTTAGCTGTGGAGGAGTCGGGAAGCACACAGCTGTGCCTGCAACGGGGAGGGCAACTTGTGCTGCTTGTCCTTACGTGGGAGCAGGATGGAGAATTGCAGAAGGGTTAGTGGAGACCTCCCGAGCTGCAGCTCGTGCCTGTTGACCTGTCTTATATCATTAGGCACCACCAAAAAGTGATTTGTTTTGTTGTCTTTGTAGCAACTCCAGGTTGCTGTTAGATCCTTCTTAGCTGCTTCTTGGCCACACTCAACCAGCCTTCCTCATAATTTCCTTGTAGGACCTTGTTGCTTGAATGTCTTAAGGTTTATGTTGGCCTGGTCTTCCAAAATATCAAGGCCCCTCTGGGTTGGAGCTCTGCTACTTGTATTAGCTGCTTTTTTGGGAGTTATCTGCAAATTTGCAGGTCGGGGATCCTCTTGATCATGTCTCATCAGGTGCATTTCAGGAAAGAGGAAAGAGAAATAGCAACATTTATATCCTGCCAAGGAGCTACATGATAGCTTAGGTTGGTGCTCAGGTGATGGCCTTGCACATGAGCCCGTGTCCCTGAGGCTGCTGATTTCCCAGCCTCTGTGACCGTACCTGCAGGTCTGGAGGAGACCGAGGTGCCCAGGTACTGGGGGAACCTATGGGTGGTTGACCAGGCAAGGCACAAACCAATGATGCTGTGGGGACACTGTGCCAGAGCTCACTATTTGACGGTGTCAGGGATCAGCTCCTTCTGTTTGGGCAACCCTGACTATACCCCTACCCTGTGGTGGCAGAAATGGAAGAGGTGTTCAGAGGGGGAGAATCTGGAGCTGTTTCCAGCTGGAGTAACAACCTGTACAATCTCCAGCCGCCCTGGCCGTTGCTGCGCTGCCCTGTCAAGGGGTAATAGCAGGACTGTGATCTCAGGAGGTGTGGGTGCCATGAGCAGCTCTGTAAGCGCCGGCTCCCATCATTGTCCTGCTTCCTCCCTTTTCCTGGCACAGAAAGGAGCTGTGAGG